GTCTTTAGAGATGTGGTCTCACTCTGGCTCAGTCTGGTCTTGAACTACTGAGCTTAGGCAATCCACCCTTCCCAGCCTCTGAAAGTGCTAAGATTACAGACATGATATACCATGCCCAGCTCAGTTTCATGATTTTAAAAAGCATTTAGAAAACTAAGTAGTAAATGTCCTTAATCTCATAAAATATATCTATCAAAGCCTATAGCAAATAACATATTTAATGGAGAAATGTTAAAAGCTTTACTAATCCCCAGAATCTGTGACTGTCCTCTTATATGGCAAAAAGTCTTTGCCCATGTGATTAATTTAAGGATCTTTATCTGGAGAGATTATCCAATATTAGCGAAGTGGGCCTGATGTCATAATGGTCCTTATAAGGACACAGGAGGAGACAGAGTCAGAGGAAAGGGTGATGTAATGATAGAGGCAAATATTGAAATGACATAGTTTGAAGGTGGAGGAAGGGGTCACATGCCAAGGACTACAGGTGACCACTAGAAACTAGAAAAGGCAAGACAATGGATCATTCCCTCAGATCCTCCAGAGGGAACCAGCCCTACTGACATCTTGTCATTTGCCCAATAACACTTATTTCAGACTTCTGACTTTCAGAACTATAAGAGAATAAATTTGGGTTATTTTAAGCCACTAAGCTTGTGATGATTTGTTACAGAAGCAGTGGGAAACTCATACTTGATGCCCACTATCAAGACATGTGTTCAGCATTATACTAGGGATATTAACCAGTGTAATGATATAAGTTAAAGAAATAGAAGAAGAATTTTAAAAAAGAAGAAAGAAAACCATTACTATATATATAGACAACATGATTGAGTATAGAAAATCCAAGTGAATTTATAGAAAAATCTTTTGGAACTGATAAATGATAAATAACTATAAGCCCACAGGAGAGAAAAACACAAATTCAAGGGGGATGGAGGGCGAAGGAAGGAAAGGGGAGAGGGGAGGAGGGAAGAGTATTCAGTAAGCTCTCATCTAATGGGCACCAATGTAAGGGTATATAGCACACTCCCTGTGTGAAGGGCCCAATGCCACCTCCAACTTTACCTAATAAATGCAAACAATGTAACCTAATCATTTGTACCCTCATATTAATCTGAAATTTAAAATTTAGAATGTATAAATGAATTTTAACAAGAAGGTCAATACATCGAAATTGATTTCATTTCCATATACTAGTGTATCAGACAAAGTCTATTCAGGATACAGAAACTACATCAATAATTTCAATAGGAAAAATGTATAAAGAATTACCAACTAGTAAAAGGAGATTACTAAAAGGGATAAAAGCACTAAAGAATACAGAAATGGCAAGTACAGGGAGGAGCTGTAATGTCTAAGACTGAGAGAGAGTACCCAAGGGACGAACAAACTTGGAAGTGCCCCTTATGCTTTTTTTTTTTTTTTTTTGCAGTTTTTGGCCGGGGCTGGGTTTGAACCCGCCACCTCTGGCATATGGGGCCAGCGCCCTGCTCTTTTGAGCCACAGGCGCTGTCCAGTGTCCCTTATTCTTAACCACAACTGAGATTCAGATCTCAATGGAAAGGGTATGGCTGTGGCCCACTGGATAGGGCAGAAGTTTACTTAGGTGCCTCAAGTCAGTGTCGGTTTTCAGCTAGTGGGCCAGGACTGGAGAGGATGGAGTGACCTACCAGGGTGCCAGCAAAACTCTCTTTGGGCTGTACACCACTGTGACTCCTACACAATGCTGGCAATGAAGCCACTCACTGTGGTGTCAGTGAAATTTATTAGAGGGTGAGTGCTACTGCACCTTCCACATACCATGCTGTGCTATACAAACAAGAAGCAAAGCACACTGGAACCAGAAAGCAAAGCTATTTCTTCTGCCTTGCAGTGCTCTTCTGTACTTTCTACTAACAAAGCCTAATACTATGACAGCTGCCAAAGAGAAATGTTTACAGGGTCCAGTTCCAGTACCACAAAATAGGACAAAAAAGTAGTTTTGGAGCTGAGTGGAAATAAATTAATACTGGGGTAGCCAGCAATGAACTTTTAGATAATGAAAATCTTAAGATACCATTTATAATATATAATCAAGTGCTAAGGAAGAAACCTAATAAATAATGTATGAGATTTCTAAAATATTATTAAGAGAAATCAAAGGGGACTAAAATAAATTGGTGAATATTAATTACTGTGTGCAAGGACTGTAAGGGTTAATGGTGTCAAGATAGAGAATTGTTCTCAAATTGAGCTACAGATCCAATGCAATCTAAATCAAAATGCCAAGGTAGGGATTTTTTCATAGATCTTGAGAATCTGCATCTAAAATTCATGTAGAAGTGCAAAAGGCCAAAACCAGCCAAGGCCTTCTTTAAGAAAAAGAATAAGGTGAGAGGAATTTTCCTATTAGATATCAAGATTTATTGTACAGTAATTATAGTGGTATGGAATTGGCACAAGGATACCCATATAGACAAATAGAAGTGAATAGAGACTCCTGAAACAGATGCACGTGTATGCAGACATTTGAAGGTGCCACTGCTGCGCAGTGGGCAAAGGGTAGTCTTTAATAAAGGATGCTAGGTCAAATGGATATCCATATAAAAATAGAAATAGCCTATAGCTCGCAATATACATGAGAATCAACTTTGAGTGGATTGTAGATCTACATGTAAAAAACAAACAACAGAGCTTCTAGAATATGACATAGAATTTATGCCATTGGACCTGGTAAAGATTTCATAAACAGAACAAAAAAATCACTAACCATGAAGAAAAGAGTGGTAATTGTAATTATATTAAAATCAAGAATTTCTTTACATCAGGCTACACCATTAAAGGAGGTAAGCTAGAGAATAAGAGAAGATATTTGCAACACATGTAATTGGCTAAAGGTTTATATCTAGAAAATATAAATAACTTCTACTAATCAATAAGGAAGTGAAAGAGGCCAGGTGCAGTGGCTGATGCCTGTAATCCTATGCCAGTTTTTGGATACTGGCAACATCCTATTTCTTATCTTTAGTGTTGGTTATACAAGAGTAACCCTTGTCATAATTCATTAAGCTCTGTATTTGTTTCATGAACTTTTCCGTATGTGTAAAACACTAATTTAAAAATTAAGAATTCTGTGTGGGGAAGGGGTGGAAAACCTATGGCCTTGGGGACACACGTGGCCTTCTGGGTTTTTTACTGTGGTGTTTTGACTCAATTCAAATTTTAGAGAACAAATCCTTTTTTTTTTCCAGACAAATCTCAAGCTCTTGCCCTGGGTAGAGTGCTGTGGCATCATAGCTCACAGCAACCTCGAACTTTTGGGCTTAAGTGATTCTCTTGCCTCAGCCTCCCAAGTAAGTGGGACTACAGGTGCCCGCCACAACACCCAGGTGTTTTTGTTGTTGTTGTTGCAGTTGTCATTTCTGTTTTAGCTGGCCCAGGCTGGGTTCGAACCCACCAGCCTCCGTGTATGTGGCTAGCACCCTACCCACTGGGCTATGGGTGCCACCCAAGAACAAATCCTTGTATTGCAACAGAGAAAGATGAAACTTTTCTTGCCTCCTTTGGTGCTTAAAAAAGAACAATCTTGAAATCAGAAGCCTGCAGGTTCCCTACCCCTTAATCAAAACCCTTAAAAATCTGCATACTTTTTAATCTTGCAATTCCACTTCTAGGAATGATCCTAAGGAAATAATGGAATAGTTTCACAGCTATTAAAATGATGATATATATATATATGTTTATTAACATAGATACATGTCCATGATTTATTGTAAGTAAAAACACAGGTTAGAGGCTCAGCGCCTATAGCTCAACCGGCTAAGGCGCCAGCCACGTACACCTAAGGTGGCGGGTTCGAATCCCCAGCCCGGACCTGCCAATCAACAATGACGGCTGCAACCAAAAAATAGCCGGGCGTTGTGGCGGGCGCCTGTGGTCCCAGCTACTTGGGAGGCTGAGGCAGGAGACTCGCTTGAGCCCAGGAGTTGGAGGTTGCTATGAGCTGTAATGCCACAGCACTCTGCCCAGGGGGACAGCTTGAGGCTCTGTCTCAAAAAAAAAAAAAAAAAAAAAAAAAAAAAAACACAGGTTAGAGTAAATGTGTGTATGTATGTTTTTTGCCATATGCAATATGTATATATAAAACATATGCTAGAGTATAATGTATGCATGTATTTATTTTTAAGAAAGAAAATAGAACATTTATGTATACACGTTTATATACATAAAACAGACGAGAAATAACTGTTTTCTGTTTATTCAGAATCATTTAAAATAAGCATATCTTTAATCAGAAAAAATAAAGATGTTTGTATTTTGAAAAACTGCATATGGCCAGGTGTGGTGGCTCATGCGTGTAATCCTAGCACTCTGGAAGACCAAGGCAGGTGGATTGCCTGGGATCACAAGTTTGAGACCAGGCTGAGCAAAAGCAAGACCCCGTCTCTACTAAAAATGCAAAAACTAAGGCAAGAGGCTCACTTGAGCCCAAGAGTTGGAGGTTGCTATGAGCTATGACACCAAGGCACTCTATCCAGTGCAACAGCTTGAGACTGTCTCAAAAAAAAAATAAAATAAAATAAAATAAAGAAATAAAGAAAAAAAGACTGCATATAATATTAGGGGGTAAAAGGATTATCAGTTGGGAAAATGACAGGTGAGTAATATGCCAAAATATTTCAGTGAATCTTTTAACTTTTACATTCTTTTGTGTTTTTAAATCTTCTGTAATAAGCATATCTTACTTTGTTAACTGGAAAAGGAAAAAAAGAATCTAATACCCAAAGTCTGATTTCTTATAGGTGATAGTAGGTCCTGTGGAGATGTGTGCAATATTAAAGACTTTCTTTAGTTATTCTTCCCTCAGGGTGGGGTCCTGGATTGCCCAAATCAGAAAGGAGATCAGCAGTCCCCCAAGCTTCAAAACCCTAAGCTTCTTGCTGGCTCTACCAAGGAGATTGCATTTTTTTTCAAACCAAATTATAAATAAATTATGTGGGCTTTGTTGTTGTTGTTAGGAAAAGTTTCTCTGGGCCAATGGGCTTTATCCATGGAGAACATTTTGGGGCTGCAGTTACCATGGAGAACCCTGAGTTCGCATCTGGTAACGGCGGACAAAGATGGAAATATCATGTACATGTCCAGCTTCCAAGATATCCACATTGAAAAACCTGTACAACAGGCAAGTAACACAGCTCCAGCTAAAACTTGGCTGGGGTAAAACACCCTTTAGACAGCCTATAAGAGTAACTTAAACCTTTGAAAAGTTCGGGGTGGAATCATGGGTGAGAGCTACAGTCCTAGGAAAGACAGGAGGGGAATCGCCCAGGTACATTGTAATCTGTTCCAGAAATTTGCATGTTCTCAGGAGAGGCAAAAAGAAAAAAAAAAGCTGCAGCAAGCGAATCCACATCAAATATAGGCTGCGGTTGTTTTTAAACGTTATCCCACAGAAAGGCGGATGTACCATCCATTCTTTCTTACACCATACTGTTTAGAACTGCTATCCCCAAACCCTAGGGAACCCGTCCACAAACTTTTAGGAGCAGGCCGCATATCTCCCTACCCCACCCTCCTACCGCACCACCATCCCTGGTCACAGAAAAATTGTCTTCTGTGAAACTTAGGAACCAGGCCACACAGCAGGAGGGAAGCGGGTGGCCATCAAGCCTCTTCTGTATTTACAGTGAGTGGCCAGCCGGCTCCTCACGCTTCCATCACCCCCTGAACTTCACCTACCTCTCCACACCCACCCCTAGTCTGGAAAAATTGTCTTCGAATGGGTCCCTGGTGCCAAAAAGATTGGGGACTGCTGATTTGGAATACTTAATGTAGTCTTTCTTAAACTGAGTATGCAGACTTGCTGAGAGAACCCAAAGTATCCCTTAAAGATTTTTAAAAGGTAGAATCCCTTGTTAATTAAAAGCAGATACCCTGGGGGGAGTTCAGATCCCAGTATTTATCAGTTAACAACTCATCAGCAATTAGTTGTCTCATTGAGCTGAAAGCAATCTGTTTGGAAGTAGGACTTAGGAGATCCTTTGCAGGGAAGATGTGAAGAGCAGCAAGAAGGGAAGTAAAGTGCAGGTTGGAGACTAAAATATCCCCAGGAAGGGGGCTTTTGACTTCACTTCAGAGGTAGTTACCATGGCGATTAAAATCAGAGGCTTTGGCTTCAGAGAGTTAACGTTTACATCCTGCTTTACTAGCCATGTGACTGGGGAAGTTCCTTTATGTCTCTGTTTTCTACCTCTGTAAAATGGACACAATAGTTCTGTTCTGATTCCCTAGGGTGGTTGTAGAGAACTGAATGAAATAGTCACAGAAAGCTCTCAGTAAATGGCAGCTATTGTTATTTACTGCTGCCTGTTCACTTTGGCTCTGTTCTCTGAGAACACAAACTGCAGAACCTTAGACCAAGGAGAGCAAGGGTTTTTCTCTGATTGAAGAGGGTTGGGCCGAGCCTTCTCAAATTTCTATCTAAGTAACATAATTTGAATTGGCAATGATGTTTAGTTGCTAAAGTTGATTCGTGTCATTAATTCTATATGTTTTAACATTTAGAAAATCTTTACTTTAGGCTCAATCTACTATAGTTGAAACTGTGTATAGATACCGATCTGACCTGGAAATCATATATAATATGATTGACTCTGATCACTCAGGTAAGTGGATTTTGATTAGTTCAATAGTAGTAGAAAGCAATAGCTAGTCTGTTTCTTTGAAATCAGAACTCTGTTTTGTTTCTTTGTCAAAACTTGGTGAACCTCAAGGGAAATAATAAACTCAGGTTTAATATTATTATCACATTCGTTTGGCCACAAATTCTGTATTCAAGACCATAGGAAGGCCAGGCACAGTGGCTCACACCTGTAGTCTAGCACTCTGGGAGGCTGAGGTGGGTAGATTGCCTGAGCTCAGGAGTTCGAGACCAGCCTGAGCAAGAATGAGACTCTGTCTCTACTAAAAATGGAAAAACTAGCCAGGCATTGTGGTGGGTACCTGTAGTCTCAGCTACTTGGGAGTCTAAGGCAAGAGGATCACTTGCGCCCAAGAGTTTGAGGTTGTAGTGAGCTATGACACAATGGTACTCTACTGAGGGTGACAAAGTGAGACTCTGTTTTTAAAAAAAAAAGACCATAGTGTCCTATAGAAGCTGATGGAGCCATTGGTCAAACTGGACTAGCTCCTTTTACAAAATACCATCACCAGCATAAATGAAAAGATAATTCACTGTCCATTTTAATATCTTTAGTTACTCCTGGCAATAAAAATCATTATTAAGAGTTCTAATTCTGGGCTCGGCACCTGTGGCTCAAGCGGCTAAGGCGCTAGCCACATACACCTAAGGTGGCGGGTTCGAATCCCCAGCCC